CGCTGCCCCAGACAGACCCTGTGCGCAATCTGGGGGTCCTCCTGGACTCACGACTCCTGCTTGAAGAGCAGGTGGCCGTCGTGGCTAGGAGAGCCTTTGCACAGCTTTGTGTTGTGTGCCAGTTGCGCCCACTCCTAGATCAGGGGGACCTAATTGCTGTCACTCATGCCCTGGTCACCTCCCATTTGGATTTCTGTAATGCGATTTACATGAGGCTGCCCATGAAGAGTATCCAAAAGCTTCAGCTGGTGCAAAATGCAGCGGTGCAGGTAGTTGTGTGTGCCCCTAGGGCAGTACATGTTACACCTCTGCTTCGTGAGCTGCACTGGTTGCCAGTTTGCTTCCAGGTCCAATTCAAGGTGCTGATTTTGATTTTTAAAGCCCTTCATGGCATGGGGCCATGTTACCTGAGGGACCGCCCCTTCCCGATTACCTCTGCCATCCCATCAGGTCTGGCAGAGAAGGCATGCTGCGGGTCCCATCTGCCAGAGAATTACATTTGGTGGGTCCCAGGAGGTGGCCCCTCTCTGCTGTGGCACCCACCTTGTGGGATCTTCTCCCTTCAGAAGTGAGATTAGCTCCATCCCTCTTCACATTCCACAAGTCCCTTAAGCTCCCAGGGGACCGGGGAGATTTTGCGATTGCTCCCTTAGTTATTTTATCCCTTCCTGTTTTGTATGCTTTTATAGTTTGTTATTTGTAATTGTTTTTATGTATTTATTCTTTTTAATTGTTGTACGCCACCCAGAGTCACTTCGTGTGAGATGGGTGGCTATATAAATATGATAAACAAATAAACAGTTCAGGAGCTTATGGCTCATCCAGGAAGAAAGCTGCTTCTCTTGATGCTCTGCCTCAAAGGAGTTGAAACTTGCACACAGGCGAAGCCAAGCCACTTACATTATCAGTAAGGATGCGGGTCACTGAGAGGAATTCCCTCTCCTGATAGCCGGTGGCAGGAAGTGCCATCAGGAGGGAGAGATTGGCCACCATATAACAGCCAAGATTTTGTACCTGCAAGGACAAGAAGATTAAAGACTGGAGGAGGAATTAAAAAATGGGGATCTGAACATTCTGGTTTTTCTGAAGAAGCAAGTTAACTTCTCCTTTGGGGCAAGGTGGATGAAATCTTCAAGCTTTATGCAGAGAAGAAGCTTTATGTATCGACAGCATTTTCTCCCAGAGAAATTTCCATTCAGTCAGTCAAAAGAAGAAAATAGTTGCCTAATAGGCATACAACAACAATAAAGGAAAAGAGAGATTGATAGGGAAGAGGAAAAAAAGTAAAAAGCAGACACACGTTCTGAAAGTTGAATTGCAGTTCTCATAGGAACTAAATGGAAACAGTCGAGAGAGAAAAAGTAGAGCAGCTGCATGTCTTTCAACTTTTTTTTGTTTCTGCAGCCTACAGAAATAGCTGCCACTGGGAAACGGAGGGACTTTCAATAACAAGCCACGGTCCTAGCGAACGTCTTTCTGCCTGTTAGTAACAACTAAACATAAATTCCAGAATAGGAAAAAAACAAGGGGATTAAAATAAAAAGATCCCCTATAACCAAGATCTTATTTTATTTTATATAACAAATGGAGGATAAAAAAATGTGAGACATGAAATATTTGGCTTGGTTTGTTTGTTAAGAATTTGTGACAATAAATGCATATTACAAAACGATAAGCTGAACAGCATAATTATACATAATTTCCTCTGATGCCAAAGTGCTCAGTCATGTCAGACCTCCAATTTGAAATCAGATTAAGATACTGTAGAACCTTTTTCTTCACATCTAATCCTGTATCTGTAAAGTTATGTGTTGGTGGGGGGGAGGCATTCCATTACAGCACCCCCAATGTGCATAATACTAGAAATATTTGAGGGACCCCCCCTCTCCAATCACATCTGCCTATCCCATCAGGTTCTGGAAGGAAGGGCATTGTGGGTCCCGTCCACAAAGGAATGCCATCTGATGGGACCCAGGAGGACAGTCTTCTCTGCTGCAGCAGCCACACTTCGGAGCATCATCCCTTCTGAGGTCAGATCGGCCCTGACCTTGCTGGTCTTCCAGAAGGACCTGAAGACGTGGCTTTGCCATCTGGCCTGGGGATCTGGTAATGTGGGTATGGAGCCTGCAAAGTGGCTGTATTGCTAGGGAAATTGAGTGTATTCTCCCGCAGATTATGTTTTTGTTAATGTTTTCTGTTATTATCTGTTTGGTTATTTACGAAATAAATAAATAAATAAAACAGATCAACTGCTTCTTTAGAGTACTGCCTGTACCAGGCCTCTTGTATCAAAGCCCCCATTGAGGTACCCAGGACGAGGATCAATGGGGGCAGTGATGAAAGTGGGGCCGTGCAGTCCTGACACAAGCGTTGCCCCTTCTGTGCACACATCATCACGGGCATATGAAAGGGGCAGAACTTGTGTCCCAAGACTACAATGCTGGATCCTCCTGCCCACACACCCGCCAAAAGGGCTGAACAAAAAGTTGGCAGTTCCTCCCAGTGCCCTTGCTCCTTCTTTTCCACGCCATTACCTTGATGGTTGTCCTAAACTCTGGGCTCATATCACTTGGAAAGGTTCCCACAGGGTGCACTTCATAGCGGTTCAGAGTAGACTCACTAAAAAACAAAAACAAAAACTACCTATTTCTGAGACATCCTTTGAGTCTGAAGTCCAGAATGCTTCCCTTGACCCTCAGACACTCCCCCCCCCCAATTCTGAACCATTATTTTAACTATTGTTTAGTATAAATCACCCAATAGTGGAGTGGTCCTGGACAAACATAACAAATAATGAGTAAGGCCTGATGAATAAATAAATTAACCATTTTCCTGCAGGCCCGACTTGCTTGGGCTG